TCTAAAAATGTAACTAGATAAAGTTAAAATTATTTAACTTTTTAACTTTTTAACTTAACTTTTATCTTTTTAACTAGACACTACCCAACCTCGTTGAAAATACATATTCTTGACTAAATTCTAAAACAACTTTTTATCTGGCAAAAAATTTTCTCTGAAGCTTACTTTTTGAGTTACTAATAAAAATAGTTGACGTACCATAAATCGGATCCAAGAGGTAGGCAGGGGCGGCGCAACTCACCGTGATTGACAGTGATTTATGTGACGCACGGATTAAATGATACAAATTACAAATGAGTAAATAAATAAGTGAGAGAAAAAGATTGATTGATTGATTCGGCTTTATTTATAAAGCGCTCTGGGAAAAGTTCCCCTCAAGCGCATACAGAACAAAGAAATATAAAAACAGAGCCATACAGTCTAAATACAAAGAAATATAAGTATGAGTATCAAAAAGTAACACAGTATAGCATAAGTTTACACAAAGTAAGATACAGTAAAGAGCAAGACAATATTAAATAATATAAAATAAAAGAAAAGAATAGAATCAGTAAGAAAAATAAGTTTAACAAAAAATAATATAAAGAAAATAAAAATGTAGGAAATAATAAGTTTAACAAAAAAATTAATATAAATGACGAAAGCATCAAAATACAGTGCATCAATATACCGAGCATTAAAATACACTATGGGAAGGAAATACAGACATTTATCAATATGTAAAAAAGTGCAATTGAGTATGAAAAATTACAAATCATCAATAAAAAAAAAAAAAGAAAAAGAAAAAAATAGTGCATTGAAATACAGAGCACAATAATACACCTTACAAAGAGATGCAGGCGTTCATCAAACTAAATTTAGTATAAAAATTTACAAAATTTACAAAATATAAAACAAAAGATAAGCAGAATGCAAAATATAAAGCACAAGATTAACATTAAACAGAATAGAACAGAATAGAAAGCACAAAAATGAATAAAGAATCAAGAATCAAGAAGAGTAAGCTAATAAGTGATTGTACCACCTCCTGCGAAAAATATCAAAGGGCTCATTCCGAATGTCAACAGGAATAGAGTTCCAAATATCAACTGAAACACACCTGAAAGAATGCCTGAATAATTCAGTTCGAGACAGCGGAAGAATAAGTGCCTTTTAAAAAAGAGAGAGAGAGAGAGAGAGAGAGAGAGAGATACAGAAACAGTGCGTAGCGATCAGGTGATCGCGTTAGGCACCACACGTAATCGCCCGCGTCTCTGACGGTGAGTTGCGCCGCCCCTGCCTACTTCTTGCATCCGACTTGCGGTAAGTCAACTGTTTTTATTAATAACTCAAAAAGTAAGCTTTTTCAGACAAAATTTTGCCAGATAAAAAGTTGTCTTAGAATTTAGTCAAGAATATATATTTTATCAAGGATAACGGGTTGTTCTGAATCACCCTGTATACGTGCTGTGAATTAAAAACACATGCCAATGATTCAATATTACTTACGTTTCTTAAAGAAATACTCATATCATTATATTGCGACGATACTACGCCTGTCACAGCTTTTGCTCTAGCTGCCTGTCTTTGTTCGAGTATTTGAAACAATTCTTCCACATCGTTGTACTTCAATATGGAGTCATATACTATCCTGGATATAGGAGGAACAAGAGCCTCTAGCAATAAGAACTCTTTGTTTATCTGAATCAGCGGGTGTTTCAGGTACGGTTGAAGAATCGTCTGTACTTTACACTGGATATCTACTTCGCTTAAAATTCTTGCCGCCGCGGACACGAACCCGACAGTTGCATGACGTATCCACAGATTCGGATGGACCTACAAAAAAAAAATTGAGTGTGAATATATTGTAAAAGTTTGTTGTCAGCAAAAAGTTTTATATTTACAGTGAATTCATAAGAAAACACTGTGTTAAAGAAGAAGAGCACATTAGTGATCATCATATCTCATATATCTAATATCGATTTGTCAATATACATGTAACAAGTATGAGAAAACATACCAGGAAGACCATAGTTTCCGATAACAGTTGATAGAGAGCAGATTTATGAAGTAGACCCAATTCCGTTAAAGTCGCCATAGCGTTTATGGCTTCTCTGGTTACAAATTCTTCAGGATCAGAAAGACCTTGTTGCAGAAGCGGCATTAATATAGGACTGCTGTGCCAACCAACATACGCAGCCACACCAACTATACATTTAAAGAAGGAACTTCTTAATTCCTTGTCTTCTTTGTCGTTTAAAAATGTAATAACGTGACTGAGCAGAATATCGTTGGCTTTCTGCTTGCCGAAGAACACGCACAATTTATTTATTCCATTTTCCATTAATGTCTGTTTCACCAAGTTGTGAGGATCCGTCAACAATGTAGAGACTGATTGCTGAACCTGTGAAAAGTAAAATCATCAAGTGTTTTAAACTATTTCCAAAACCAAAAAAAATATTTATTTATATTGCACATGTAATATGTAATACAATTGACAAATTATCACAAATACTGTACCATTTCGTGCAAGGTTTGCAGCTCGCTGTCGTAACTGGGTTTTGGTCCCTCTTTGTTACCCGAGTTAGAAAGATGAGCATTCTCTAAATAACGTAAAGCGATATGCGCCAAATGCGCGATGTTCTGCGCGTATGCTGCTCTGACAATAACAGCCTCGTCTTGAGTCGGTATATGCGCTAAACCCGGTAGGATATACTCAGGGAATATATTCACATCCGAAGGTGGTATCGATTTCACAAGATGCAAACAATTTGTCAGAGTGTGTATTGCCGATACTCTTACCCGCGGTGCCGGATCGTGAACTAGATGGAACTGCATAAAAAAATTTATAAAATATATAACTGAAGTGCAATATACAATATGCATAATATACATTGTATTGACAATAATTGGTTCACTTATAAAAAATCAAAAAAAACATTTTTTAGCATTTATTTTAACCCTTTGCACTCCAGTGGTGACTCTCACTCACCATGTGGTTTGATGCCGCAACTCCAGAGGTGACTTTCAATTATGTTTGTAAAGGTGTAGAGATATATAAAATGTTGAAATATAAAAATTTTATACATTAATTTGTGTGTGTAATGATTTTAAGTCACTGGTCAAGAAATGCGTCCAAAAGGGCTGCGAAACGTCTGGAGTTGCTGGTGTGTTAAAATATAAAAATTTTATATATTAACCCTTTGCCCTCGAGCGGCGCCGATTCGGCGCCCGGCCAATTTGAAGTGGCAACTCGAGCGGCGCCGATACGGCGCCCGGCCGATTTGAAGTAGAAACTCGAGCGGCGTTGCTTATAAATGTCTTTAAAGCATTTGTAAAGTGTTTCCCGAATTTGGCCGAAACCGTCTCGAGTTGCTGGTTAGCGCAAGCGAAAAAGGCCTCGAGGGCAAAGGGTTAATTTGTGTGTGTAATGATTTTAAGTCACTGGTAAGAAATGCGTCAAAAGGGCTGCGAAACGTCTGGAGTTGCTGGTGTGTTAAAATATAAAAATTTTATACATTAATTTGTGTGTGTAATGATTTTAAGTCACTGGTAAGAAATGCGTCCAAAAGGGCTGCGAAACGTCTGGAGTTGCTGGTGCGCCGCGCGAAAAAGGCCTGGAGTGCAAAGGGTTAACACATACTCTAGGTAAAATTTTTGAAAATATTGAACTCGTAGATACACGAGACTTACAATATAAGGTAATATTCTATCCAGAATAGTCTCGTCAGATACATTCTTAGCCAGCTCCAGCAATATTTCTAAACTATGTAGCTTGGATTGCAAATGGTGCAGTCCTCTTATGCAAGATGTGACGAGTTGAGTTATAATAACAAGTCCTTCTAGAGTTTCCGTCGAAGTAGAAACTGGTTTCTTGGATTCTACGTTGCACATTTGTTTGTGATCTTCGGATTTAATTTCCTGTTCCGTTTCCACTTGAATATCACTGCCAACATCTTGCGACGTGCTTCTCGCATCGATTTGATTCAAATCGGTTTTGTCGGAGCTTTGATCGCTGTCGACCTCAACCATGGTGTTCTCCTCGCTGTGACCAGAATCATCTTTCATCGATTCAACATTACTTTCGTTTTGAACTGATTTTGCAACTTCCATGGATTTCGGCTCGCTCGTTTTCAATCGTTCATTTTCATCCGCTAATATATTTATGATATTGCCAATATCCTTTTTTAATCTACCTATCTTCTCGTCCGGCGATAAAATCGGAGCAGCGGAGAAAATAAGCATATACGACTGCAAGAAAGAGTAAAAATATTCTGGAAAGATGATGCCGCGAGCTTGAGCTAGATAAATCTCTGCACTTTTTCTGTTAGTCGGATTTCTCTCTAACATCGAGGCGAGCAGTTCTCGTATTCCCGGATCGTCAATATTGTCCAAGTGTTTGCTCACAGAATATTCATTATTCCTGTACGCTAAATTGTAATGTGATTTTTAACATTAATAAAATTTTTCTAGCACACATCCACACCTAATCACATTAAACAGTATATCTACCCAAGAGCTGTGAAAAATCAAACGGTGGATGCCCCTCGTTATACAATTCCGTTAAAGCACATCCCGCAGAAAAAATGTCCATCATAGAATGTAGATCACCTGTTTTCACTTCCTGTTCAGGTAACAACAATGTATTGCTCAATTCTGAGGATAGTGTTTTCACAAATCGTTCGGGTGCTATGTAACATGTTCTAAAAATGTTAATCACAAAGTAGAAATAATTTTTATCATCTCTTATATTATCTTTTATTATTATATTAATTTTAATGCCAGAGAAATCTATTTCTTTTTAAACAATTTTTGGTACTCGTTGAAAGTTGAACCAATATATAAGGCCTTACGAGCCATTCGCTGGATGTTTGTGCAGAAATTGTGCGTGTATATATATATATATATATATATATACACACACACACAATATATATATATATATATACATGTAACGAATTCTACTTGTGAAATTCTCACAAGTGAGTGTTTTTTGAATTGAAATTTCAATTCTTAAATTCATACGGGATGCTGGATTTGCATCTCACATATGGAAGACCCCGGATACCCCCCTATATATACACGCACAATTTCCTGCACAAACATCCAGCGAATGGCTCGTAAGGCCTTATATATTGGTTCTATTTCTTTTTGTTGTGGAAAAAAGAAATTTTAATGACATCACACTAAGTGACTTTTACCTTCTTCTCGAAGTATCAAAAAAGTATGAAAAATCTGCAGGATTATCTTCTGGCAAATATGTTGGTTTAAAACTGGCAAAATCTGTGAGTAATACCCAGTTCCAGCTAGTTATCATAATATTCTCTAGTTTTATATCACCATGACAAACTCCAAACTGTAAAATTATCAAAATTAGTTACACCAATTCTCTTACTCTTTCAACAAATATATACTGAAAAATATTCTTTTTTTTGAATAAACACACAAATTATTAGAATAGAGATTAATAATGACAAAGAAAATACAGATAAATTAAATCAAGAAATAAAACTTTGAGAGCCATATACTGGTCGTATATACAGTATATACTTTTAACATATGTAAATTAATACAAATAGGAAATTCAAATTAAATAACAATTCTAAATGTATATATCCAATATACGACAAAGTCCTATTTCTTGATTTAGTTTATACTTAAGATAGAGCTGTATATTTTGTTGACAATATGTTGACAATTAAACAGCTATTTGCATAAATATTTATATCTATTTTGACATTTGTTACTATACCTTATGAGCTTGATGAAGAGCATACAAAACTTGAAAAGTGATCCACTTTTTTTCAATGCTTGTTAAAAAGGGTCTGGTGCTGATTCTGTCATAAAGGGAATATTTGACATATTCTCGCATTATTGAACCTGCTTTTTCTGTGAGCTAAATTCAAACACACCAATTAATTCTAATTCTATAAATTTTTCTCAAATCATATAATTTTATATGACATATAAATATTCTGATGCTTACAATCATTCGCTGAAAAGGTAGACAGTTTACAGCCGAAGCTAGCTTTGATCTAATCTCTTCTAATTTGTCTTTGTAGGCTGATAATGGCAATGTTGGATCATGAATTGCAAATACTTTTACAACTATCAAGCCTTCTTGGCTTCGAGCCCTAGCTACTTTAAAAAATCTAGTACTTCCTAAACTGTAAATAACAAAACACTTTCACAAATTAACAAATTTAATTCACCTGTGCTGAAATAAAATTACTTTTATTTAAATATCACTTTTCTATATATATATATATATACATATATATATAATATTTTTGCAAGTTTTTACATAAATATATAATGCAATATTATAAATTTTATTCTTCTATTATTAGAAATATTTAAAAATATATAAAACTTATCAGCAAGTACCAAATTTGTTAAACAGATGTTTTAATATTTGTTTTTGATGATGTTTATATTATTACAACAAATTGTTCGCAATCAATTGTTTTTATATTTGATTATCAGCATTTCAGCACGCGATTAGTATATGACAGTACACGTTCTGCAAGAATACATGTATACCCTAAAAGACACGATTCAAGATGTAACACTTACTTTACATCGAACAATAAATCGCTGTGATCCGTCAAATAGTGTTCTACCGGAAATATTTGGCTGGGCGCGATGCCCACCAATTGATTACCCATTTTATTACCCAAGATAAGAACTCAGATCAAACCAAACTGATTGTATTCACTCTTGACACTCGTCATCTTTCACAAGAATTTCACGAGTTCCCTCACCAACTCTCATTCCGTTTGCAGATGCAACATTACCAACTTCAAGCAAATATCAACTCGGGCTCCAATATTCACTGCTCTAGCTGCGAGTGCTAAAAAAACCTATACTTTACGTCACATATGCTATAGATTTCTAGTATTGACAGTAAATAAGGTCTGTTCTTTTTACCCGAACTGACCGCACTAGTTCAGAGTTCATCTTTTTCGCTTCACATTGGAAGAAAAAAGATAAACTCTGAACTTAGTGTAGCCAGTAAAACAAACAGACCTAATATCGGAACGCAGCCTTGGTGTCTTTTTCGTTTAAATAATTCTTACTAGATTTTAGGGATACGAGCTGCGTTCTAATATTCACTACCAGGGTTACGTTCCAAAATCCTACCTTGGTTATTAAAATGCTATATTTTACGTCACGTGTACTATAGTTTTTGGTTATCAAGGTAGGATTTTGGAACGTAACCCTGTACTGCGGATCTATAGTTTATACCACGTGTATTATAAATTTTCGGTCTATTGTCACAATAAATATATACAGGGTGTCTCATAATGACCGTATCACCGCTCGTAGGCAGGTAGAAGGGATTATTCTGAGTCGAAAAGTCCTGAACCATTTTTTTCTATTACGTATGATAAAGGAGTAATTATTGAATAAAGTAAGCCAATCAGCGCCGACCTTTAGCCAGGCGCACGTCAGTGAGCCGCGCGCCTGGTGTGTGTGAGCGCTCACTGACGTGCGCCCGGCTAAAGGTCGGCGCTGATTGGCTTAATTTATTCAATAATTACTCCTTTATATTATATGTAATAGAAAAAAATGGTTCGGGACTTTTCGACTCAGAATAATCCCTTCTACCTGCCTACGAGCGGTGATACGGTCATTATGAGACACCTTGTATATATTGGAACGCAGTCTGAGCCTTAGAACATAAGGCGATTTTTGGCGATCGTATGGTACATGTACCAAAGTGTACCAAACTATAATTTGAAGTCACTCGAACTATAGTTTGGTACACTTTGGTATATGTACCATACGATCGCCAAAAATCGCCTATATAGGCTGTGTCCGGTTAAGCAAGAGGGAACGAACGAACGCGGGAAATGCAGGTTTTCTGACACGCACTGAAAATCTGTAGTATAGGTGACACGTACTATAGATTTTCAGGACTAAGGCCAATATTTTAATAAATTGTTTTTATATATTTAAAATAATTTAATATTCTAAGTTTATCCTAAGACACTGTATGAGCTATCTCATTGGCTTCGGAGCGTTTTAAGATTAAACTTTAAAACGATCTCAGATATAAGATTCGAATATCGGCGATGTGCTGCGGTACCACATACAAATTGCAACAACACGCAACGCGACGAGCCATACCAACATTAGTTGACCAAGATGGCACGTCAGCAGCAAGATGTCGATGAGTTGTTTGATGTAAAGAATCATTTTTACATTGGCAATTATCAACAATGTATCAACGAGGCACAGAAAATCAAGGTGAAAATCGAATTTTATTTTGTCGCAAATACAATGCCGCGCGCTGTTTCGTTGAGAACTTTGACGCGGTTCAATCCTACTCGTCTCTATTTGTCTTTCATAGCGGATGCTTTCTCGCTTGGACGAATTAATATTTTTCTGAAATTACTTTCATTTCTACATACAGAGTTATACAGTTGTAACATTTGTGAGCTCTCCTGTCTTTATTTCGCAAATAGAAATTGAGCAATTGAGCTGATATAATGCGGATATTCATCTTTTCATGTGTATATTTAAGCGTGTGTGTGTGTATGTATATATTTTTGTATATATAATAAATGGGTTTCTTTTTTATACCCTCTGAGTCACTATAACTTTGATTGATCATTACTTTAAAAAAGGTTGCATCAACAAAATATTTCAATACTGTTAATTAACATGTTTTATAGTATATATAAACTTTCCTTTTTATTTCATAATTATATTTCTTTATTATCTATGTATTAATATATTTAATCTTATAATTTTTTTTCTTTTGCAGCCATCTTCTCCGGAAGTAGCTATGGAACGTGACGTGCTTCTTTATCGTGCATATATAGCTCAAAGAAAGTTTAGAGTAGTATTAGATGAAATTAACAATTCATCTCCTATGGAATTACAACCGCTGAAGATGTTAGCTGATTATTTTGCCAATCCTTACCGCCGAGAGATTATAGTGGCAGAACTTGATAAGGAGGCTAGCCATCCAAACTTTGATAATCATAATTTTTTGATTGTGGCCTCCACCATTTATTACCATGAAAAAAATCTAGAAGCTGCTCTTCGAATACTACATGATGTGGATCATCTGGAGTGTATGGCATTGACATTACAGATATATCTCAAAATGGATCGTTTGGATCTGGCTCGTAAAGAGCTGAAGGCAATGCAGGAGAAAGATGATGATGCCACTCTGACTCAACTCGCACAGGCATGGATAAACATAACTAGCGGCGGTGACAAGTTGCAGGATGCTTATTACATCTTCCAAGTAAAAACAATAATAATGTTTATCGTTTATATTTGTTTAAATGTTCTTTTTATACTGAATAAAATTTATTATTTCAGGAAATGATTGACAAACACTCAAGTACAAGTATGTTATTAAATGGCCAAGCTACTTGTTTTATTGGACAAGCTAAATACGAAGAAGCAGAAACAGCTCTACAAGAGGCACTGGACAAAGACAGTAATAATCCGGACACTTTGATCAATATGATTGTTTTGTCGCAGCATATGGGCAAACCACCGGAAGTAGCAAATCGTTACTTAAGTCAATTGAAAGATTCCCACTTGGAACATCCTTTTGTCAAGGAGTATTTGCAAAAAGAGATAGAATTCCATAGATTAAAAGAGCAATATTCATCTTCCGCCTGAGTATCCCTCAGCAGATTGTGGCATTCCGTGGGATAGAATTTGATCGCAAAAGGATCCAAGTACGAACTAAGCGAGCTTGATTCAAATGAACTCCAAAGAGTAAAGTTTATTTTGTTTAGTTTGAAAAAAATTTTTCTTTTTTGACCGTTCAAGTACATATCCTGAATATATATTCAATGCAATCTTACGTTTGCGTTTCAAGCTCAGGAATGCATTTTTAAATGTTGAATTTTATAGTTTTGTTACATCCTAATATACTTCTGTTGCAAGTGATGTGAGATATGTTTACATGATGTGTTAATTCTTAAATCGTCGAGAAACTTGAGCTTTCATGATATCGTTTTTATACATGCATATATACAGACACACACACACACACACATATATACACGTACTGGAAGATTCCAACATTCTATAGCAATTTTTCGCAAAGTAAGAAACAATAAATCTAACTATGCTATCTGTTTTCTATAGATAGTCATGTTATTAATTAAAATGTTTCTTCTTTTTTTTAAACTAGATAACAAAAAATAGAAGTATAGAAGAATTGTGTACGGACAATATATGTAGAAGAGAGAGACTTTCGGATTTCTAAGAATGGAATCGTACGCGTAATATTACTCAAAACAAATTGCAATTGTCCATTTTATCTCAACATTTTATGTATACTCTCATCGTAAAATCTCGTCACCAAAAAATTATGGCTGCCATTTTATAAAAGATTATAAATTATCGAAATAAACACGTTAATAATATCGCGTAACATCGTCTTTTCGTATAATATTCGTATTATTTATTTAGATGTGTATAGATAAACGAAATAATCAAATAAAATATTTCATACTGTATAAACATATTATGAAGCTTAAAAGACGGTTTTTTATTTCCCTCCTCAAAATATTGTTAGATATCCTTCGATCATTTAAAAATAACATTCTTTTTGAGTACATACATTTTTACACAGATATGTACATTTTAAAAGAGAGAGAGAGTCGTATATTATATATATGTATATATAATCAATCTATTAAACAAAACTAATGATAAATCTATAAATATACACGTATTAAACACATCTGACATTTTGAAAGCTCTCGAGCTTTTAAAAATTTAAATTTTTAATGCTTTACATACACACACACACACACACGCAGGAGGTACTGAAGGATTCAATGTAACTACATAAACCATTAATTTTGAAAATGTATGTCATTAAATCGAACAGCAAAAGTTTGAACGTACGATGGCAAATTTATGAATTTTTTAAATAATTTTTTATTAATAATATTTGCAGAGAAAAAACTTCAAGAAAATTGACATTGTTCTCACTTTTCAAAATTAATGGAACAAGCAATGAATATAAAAATAGACGTATATAAAACAATTTAATTTTTTTTTTTTATTGTGTTTACGCGGTGGGCTTCAAAGAACATATGTATTTATATGTAACAAAGCACGCTGATTTTTTTAACAGAATGTCAGACTGTACATAAAAACATAAATTGTTTCGTATTAAGTTTTGTATACACGTTCGGGGTGGAGTTTTTTTTTTTTTATATATACATGAAAATTATAACGTTTTCTGGATATTCAAAGTCATTTTAAGTCAGTACATCAGTTATTTTTTGTGTGATTATAAATTGTGAGACCAAAGTTAACATGGTTAAATTTATTTTAAATTGAAGGCTAGATGCGTCGAGTCTACATGTGATATATGACTCTCTTATTTAAGTTATTAAAAAAATATCCATTATATAATTCTAATCATCGATAATTTACAATAGCGTATATCTGATCTTAAACTAATATCACAATGGCTCGAGACAGTCAAGACTTCGGATGGTGTGAAAGTGTCTTGATTACAGAATGTTATAAATTTGGTGATTGCATATAACTGTCTTCTGATAAATCTTTTTTATCAGATACATAATGTGTGTATGTATAATCGGTTCAAAGTCTGTATTTATATAAACCTGGAAAACGTTTATATATCGCCGTGAAAAACTTTGTTTAAAATTGCAAGACCGCAGAGTTCTCTTACATTTGTAACAGATATACAAATTCTATATAAAAAATTGTTACTTTGCACACGCACTATGAATATCATATACATACAAATCGCATCGTTTTTTTTTCTTTTTTTTTTTTTTTTTTTAATGTAATAACATTGATATTAAGAAAGAAAATGACGTGTTTGAGTGAAAAATGCAATGTAATATTTACACGCACGTGGGACTCATTTTTTCCATAAGTGATGTGCAGTAAACTTAAACAAAATTATTGACAAAGCGAAAACAGTGTGCTTCAAACGGATTTTAAAAAAAAAAAAAAAAAAAAAAAAAAAAAAAACGTAGGGGAAAAAAAGGAAAACCAAAAAAAGAAGATATTAAAACTTTTTTCTTCTTATATTCCCTATTTTTCATTCAGATAATTTTTATTCTTTGCTATGAAAAATAGATCGTTGTCGCTGTTACAAATATCATTTTGCGATAACAAACTTCTGAATATATTTGTTGCAACCATATTGAATTAACGTCAAAAAGCGAGAGAGCTTATATATCGTTTTCTAAATCAAGCGTTATACAATAAAGAAATTTTCAATTAAAGTGGATTTATTATCCACAGAACAATCCACATTCGTTAGTTTCCCACCAAAAAGTTCTTTTTTATATTTTTACATTAAGAAATGCAACATATGTATGCGTGTAATTCGGTCTATCATATGCTGTATTTTCACTTAAAATAAGTTTTTTGATATTTTATTGAGATTGACAAACATTTATTAGTTAATAAACTGAAAATGTTTTTCTTTATATTTTCCGCAAGTACTTTTTCTATCGAAAAACAGGTTCGTACGAAAAAAGTTAGATTTAATAACTTTGCAGGACAACAGATAGATTTTGCAGGAAATTCTTTTTCCGTTTCTGATGTAATTCAATATGACTGTAACGCGCAGGTGCCCAGGAACTTAAAAACTTAGAAATCCGCTGTCCAGAGGTAGCCGTTGTGTGTGTTTTATCGAATTGTATTAAGTCCTATTTATTTTGGCCAACATGTCAAAACTGTATTAGAATTATTATTATTTTGCTTACGTTTTTTCTTAAAAATCTTTTGCAGATAAAGTGGAAGAAATTTATTAATTTTTTTTTCCACAATAGAACGTATAATAGATTTTTACTTTAGATCTGAGAAACAGGATTTTCTCTAATCTCTGAATTTTTCAAGTAGTTACAGTGTATTTGGAAAATTGCAAACTTTTTTTTCATAGATAAACTCTTAACGAACAACTATTACTAATAATAATAATAATACGGAAAGAAGACTTGTATTTTTTAAAAATGACAACTTGATAAAATTTTATATAAGTGCACTATTCAACCTTGCTTCGTTTCTTTCACGAGACCAAACTTTGTCTTATGAAATAACATGATGAATAATATCGCGATTTTCTTTGTGTTATCTCTTATAATCATATAGCATGAAATTTTCATTTGTCAACTGAACTTTTGAAAAAAATCAATGGAAGCAATTGTACAATTAAGATTCATTATTTCTTTTCACAAATAGGTTTTTTTTTTTTTTACTTTTGTTTAAGATGAATAACAAAATACTTATATCTGTACACAACAACAAGTTTATATATATTATATATAGAATGTTTCTCTATTAATTAGAGCAAGTAAAACTTTTATATATATATAAATCTATAGTTGAAATGAAGCTGTAAACAAAATGGTACAGAATGACTATCAAAATATCAAAAATTATTGCATAAGTGACGATTTACACTGTTTCCGCTTGTACCACTATACTATAGAAAAAAAAAAAAAAATGATAAATTATAAAAAAAAAAAAAAACCTTCTTAAGAACAACCCGCTTAGTAAAACCGAAAGTACTCCACATCAGAAACGTTTCTAAAAACACGATTCGTTCTACGATACGACGATCTCAATCTTTTATCCATAAATGTGAACAAGTTTACATGAAGACAAAAAAAAAAAAGTGATAAGAATTATCTCTATTTTGTCGATTTCCGAAGACCGTATCTCTATCAGAAATATATACTATCATTACTTATTTAGAGATTCGTGTGCCGCAACTAAATTGTAAAAAGAAAAAAAAAAAAAAAAAAAAAAGACCCGAACATGAAGAGTTGTGAGATCGAAAAGATAAAATCCGTTTTCTTTTTCTTTGATCGTGATATTGTGACATCCTGGTTTCTAATATGGGACATACGGTCTTTTATGAGATTTATACAAAATTGTTTTAAGGTACATGTGTGTGTGATGATGATGCCTATTAACACAAGAGATGCTGTTAGGGTGACTCTAGAAGATAAGCGCGGGCACGTGGTGTCATCTTACGTATACGACCTCTGCTACTTATGCTAATGCCAGGCTCTGGTAGACTCTCGTCGCTTTCCTCAGCGTAGGAACGACGTACGATCTTACGTCGATTCCTCACTGGTAGCGCGGCACTGTCGTCACTTTCCTCGTTGTAACGAGGACGTTTACGAGCCGAGACTCGCCTACTGCGTTGTTGCTGCTGCTGTTTCGCATTTTTTGGATTCCGTCTACACGAGCGCAATCTTTTGTACGAATAGTCACTGTCGTCTGATTCCTGATCGTTGACTTCGTACTGTAACTGCTCTTCCTTCTCTTCTTCTTCTTCCTCTTCCTCTTCTTCCTCCTCTTCTTCGTCATCCTCATCTTGTTCTTCTTCATCATCATTATCACTTTCGGTGTCGCTTTTTTTCTTTTTATTATTAGCGGTATACTTTTGGTTTTCTTCTTTCACGGTCACTAACTTACGCGACCTGGTGTCTCTTCTGACAACTTTTTCGTCCTCGCTTTCTTCTTCCGTTGAATCCGCCATGACAAACTGCTCGTCTTCTTCTTCATCCTTGTTCTTCTTGCTCTCCGCAACATATTCCTCCTCGTCGTCGTCGTCGTCGTCGTCGTCGTCATCGTCGTCCACAATAACGTTTGGTTTCACTTTAGACTTGAACTGTTTGCCGTTCTTAATATTTTTACCGCGATTCTTACGAACCTGTCTGCCACGACCGCTAGGTGTGTAATCGTCACCGGAATCAGTGTCGGCACTAACACTAGGCACTGCCATCCTTGCTCTAGTCCGTCGAACAGGAGCACTGTCACTACTTTCGACATCTGCTGTCGTTGCATCAGAATCACTATAACTGTCCTCCGCTTTCTTCGACACGGTTGATCTCGAAATTCGTAGCTTCAACATTGGCCGAGAATTGGATCGCCTCGTGTGACCGTTTGTCATTCGAGAAGGTCCTAGAAATAATAATTATAAAATAAAATCAGAATAATAATCGATCAGAATGATAATTTGTATTAATTTGAAATTTCTAACATGATCATAAAACGATGAAAATGTAATTTTTTATAATACTGGTAACATGATTTCAATCTAACGAATGAATAGTCAAGGCTCGTGAAAATTGAAACTAAGAATGAAAAGGCCAATCCGATCCATTCCCAGAATGTTGTGCAACAATTATGTTATTCCTGTACAACATCCTGGGAATGGCTCGGATTGGCCTTTTCATTCTTAGTTTCATGATTTCAATCTATTATAACTATTACTTCAAGGAATTATATTATTAGAATTAATTATTTTATTAGGAGTGTGTGTGTGTGTGTATGTTTGTACTTATGTTGTGTATAATAGTTTATTTTATTAAAACATTTCTAAAATTATATATATGTACATCTATAGTAAAAATCATAAGAGTATAACTAAAAAACATAATAAGTAGATATAGAATATATCTGCTTATTATATTTAACCCTCGGGGAACACACCTATTTTTTCAATCAAGAAGAACAATCTGGGTCAATTTGACCTTGTCCACTTTTTGAGATGCTACCATTTAAAATGCACTTATCCGATTGGCTTGAAAAAATTTTCGGATATATTATGAACAGTTTGGAATATGCCTATATAGTTTTTAAAGTGTCGTGAACATTATTAACATTGTAAAAAATATGTTACAAAAAAGCAAAATTGAAGCAAAATATTTTGATCAAAGTTGACGAACAGGGTCAAATTGACCCAGTGTGTTCTCCGAGGGTTAATAATGTATCCAGATATTTAGCACATTAATAATATATTATAGTAATATATAATTTAGAAAGATAAATTCTCATACCAGGTGCAGATATATCAGAATGTTTCTTTGTTTGTTCCTTATCCTCATCATCGTCATCTTCACTGTCTAAATTATCATCACTCTGAGTAAACTTCGATTTCGGATGTCCTACACAAAGAATTGTTATTCTCAAAAATATTTATTTTTCGAGAAAATAATATATTAAGTTGCACTGTATTTCTTTTTAAATAAAAATTTGTATTTTTCTTATAAAAAATAAAGTTTCACAAAACTTACGTATTGTGTTTGTGTTTATCTTTCAAATATTTGTACGATGCAATAATAAGTACCTGTGCCGTTGCTTAATTTATGTTTTCCTTTTTGCGTTTTTCCTTTCTTTTTTGCTTTTGACTTTGCGTTATTGTTACGTCTACGCGCGGATTTCCAACTTGAAAGTACAGAGCGCATTTGTTCCTCAAACAGAGCCGATAATCTTACTGTCATCGAAAATATCTGTGTAAAAAAATAGACTTAAGAAAATGTTGCAAATTATTGTAAACAAAAGAAGACAACGGCACAAACCTACCTTTGAACGTTTGTTTGTATTATAATTTCTACTATTGATAAATATCAATCTCATGTCTTTGGCAAATTCCAATGGCGTTTCATAATTACCACCTAGTAAATCCTCTTTGACAGTGCGTAAGTCCATTGGTGTGTCTATTATTTGATGATACTCTGGATGTTCCAATCTATCAACTGGTTCTCTACAAAAACGATATCGCTTATCTTTGATGATTGCATTCTTTAACACGTTCACGCCGGGGCGAAAATCTACGTTTTTTCGCGTGAGGCGGAACTGTCTTATCTCCTTACGCTTCGTGGGGCGAGGCAACACTGTTCCGTGGGGCGAGTGTGACCCACCGGTGGGTCACACTCGCCCCACGGAATAGTCAAGTGTGACCCACCGGTGGGTCACGCCGGCGTGAACGTGTTAATTAAAAAGTAATCATGTGAAAAGAATTTGGTAATTATGCAGTTATACGGACTATTTTCCGATCTCA